CGCCCTGGTCTCCTCCCAGTCCTTCAGATTCCGGGGATGCTGTTTTACTTGCCAGCCCGGGACTGAGAGGGCGAAGGAAAGAAACAGGAGAGAATGTTGAGAACGTGGAAGAGCCAAGGGACAAGGCGGGCTGCTGGGCCGCCGGCTTGAGCCGGGACGGGACGGTGCGGCGAGAGTGACAGCGCAGGGCTGGACCCGGGACCCGGCCCTCGGTCCGCAGCCTCCCCCAGGCTGCCCGCTCTGCGCGGTTACTCGATCCAGACCTGTTTGCACTCATTAGAGCTGGTTTGTTTAGATTCCACACTTCGGGGAAAGTGAGGGCGCACTCAACTGATGGCGTGAGAACTACCGTGCCTTTGTTATTGTTTATGCTGAGATGAAGTGCGCTTTATCTCCTGTTCTTTATTAGAGTACGTATGTTTCCCAAAATAATGACCAGTCTCCCGTCCGGTTTTCGAAATTTTAAGTTAATAGCTATTATTCATAAACACCTCAATTTTAATCCATTTGGATACAAAATATAATTTTGTACAATTAAAAACAGCAGCCTTATTAAATTCTACCCATAAATTAAGGTGTTTTAAAGCACAGTTGTAAATTGCAATATTAGGTCTACAATCTTCACACTGGTGTCAAAACTACATTCATTTTCTTGCTTGACCATAACACATTTCAGCTTTTTCATATTTGTAAGCCCTGTTTTCAATCATTATAACAGCTAATTGCTGTAAAAGTTCAAATGATTTTAAACCAAAGATGGGAAATGTGGAGGACACATTTTAGTCCTATAGTTTAAATGGTATATAGTTCTCTCGGGTTTATTTACAAAGTAATGCATTAGAATTTAGTACCAACAATCTCAGATTATGTTACAAATTTAAAGAACTCTGTTCCCTAACCATTTAGCCTACTTGCTATTTCTGCTGCCACAAGGTGACACAACCTCCGTTTCACATATTCCAGATATACGTCCCGCTTAATTTTCTGCATTTACCACTGAATGGTAAATGCGGCAACCTAATGGTTCCGGTATGTGCAAGGCGGCGGGCGAAGCCTCGGCACACTGGGCTAGTACACTGAGTATGCAACATCATCAACACCCCTCGGAGTTTCTGTGATTACTGCCCAGCCCCAGAGTTGCTGGGACTGAGCCTGTATGTGTGGGAATGATCTAGCCACTCATATCAAGTCGTATTTTGGTTTTTTGGTTTGTTTTTCAGCTAGTATCCTGTACACTACCCTTGGAAGGAAGGGGCTAGTTACTTTGAATCTGGAAAGGCCAAGGAAAAAAGTCATTACTGGCAGCCTTTCAGACTTGCCCACAAATTTAAAGACACCCCCCAGTCCATGTCATCTCACACGCTATTAGACACGGCAGAAGCTGGAAATAAAACTACAAAGATCTATCAAGCCTGTCTCCGATTTTTTTTTTTTTTTTTTTTGATACCGGGGATTGAACTCAGGTCCTTGCACTTGCAAGGCAGGCCACCGAACCACTGAGCTAAATCCCCGGCATGTCTCAGATTATTTTAATGCTGCTTTTAATAAAAAGGAGTTTTGGTTTTTTTTACACAAACATATGTTACGTTAGTTATGTTGATTGGACTTGATGGAAACTTAGACCATGAAGACTTGATTGACATGGTAAGTACATGGATGAGAACATCACTTGTGGTTACTCCCATAAATAGCCTTTTAAAAGGATGCTTATTTAAACTTTACATTTTAAAAGTACTCGTTGCCAGCTGTATTCAATCCTGTTCTTGAGAACATGTTTAAAAATAGATTTTGCTTATATGTGTAAGGATATGGGTCCTTCCTTCAAAGAATTAACCCTTGATTAAGATTTGTTTTGTAAAATTACCAGCCAAGGACTACGAAGACTGTCTAGCTATTAAGTGGCTGGTTACAAGTAGCTGGTCACCATTTTTCTGTAGGCTTCTAGATAGAGCAAAAGTCTTAGACCCCTCAGGGATGTTTAGAGTACTCATGGTAACACAAATCCAAAATTTATAATCTTGTCCACATCTCATACACAGCAAGAGATTTTAAATAGAAAATTGGGATCTCTAAAATCTGTATGTCCATTGGATTTTCATAACTGCTTTTTCTACTCTTTTTTTCTATAGGTTTGTATAGTTTAAATGACTGCCTAATGCCTACCATGGTCACCCTTCCCTTTTCATCAAGTCCCTTACCCTGATACATGCCATCCATAAGGATTTACACCTGAGAACAGCTGCAGCTGACTTAGTAGTAAGTTATACTCCTGGCTTCTATGTCATTTGGTCATATATTAGCGATAATTAGTATCATTCTAATTTTAAAACTAAGGCTAAATGTGATTTATGAAAGTGAACTTTCAAGAATTGTATTACATCCACTATGCGTTAACGTTAGAAAAACTAATCCCTTGATTTGTTGCACGTAATTTACTTACTTGACAGGTTCCCAAGTGAATGAAAGATACAATTTTATTTTTGTCCTCAGGCTTTCTGCTCTTCCAAAACCACACCTTATTTTTTCCTCTTTCTAAGTCTCTGTTAACTTGCTAAGACAGCATGTCTTGGCATTTGTAACCTCAGGAACGTAGCTCATATTAATTTGGAAGATTAATACAGTGTACTAGAAAGCACAAGAAGAAACTGAGCAGAGATTCTGTGGTAGTAGCACATCTTACAAGAAATGGTCCTGAGGTCACAGAGGCTCCTGTGAGCCCCACCCTTTCCATCCTATACAACTTGCAGGGAACTGAGTCACATGACACTGTGGCAAAGGC